AGGGGGGTGGGGGGGAAGCCGCAAAACCTCGAACTTAAAACTTACACTCACTATTTTCTTCGAAAATATACGTGAGTTCCGCAAAAATGGAAAAACAATATCATAATTGAAATCAAAAAAAGAAGACTACAAAAAAGCTAACGTGAACTAACAATTGAAAAGTGAAGATAATTATTGATAACAAAAATGTTAAAGGTTTTTAATCTACGTGCACCCACTCTTTATTGTCAGGTTCTTCTTCATTTTCTTGAACACGTAATTTTTCCATTGAACGTGTAACACGATCACTTGCAAGCTGTGTTGGTGCTGGACCCAAATCAAAATTATCGAAATCTGATCGAAACCAATCTAGCATTTCTGTTTTAAATACAAGTTGTGGTGGTGGTTGCGATGGTGCTGTTGTTATTTGTTGACTTTCAATTGAGTTTGTTGCTATATCAGTTGTTTCTGGTGGTGCTGGTAATCTATCTTCTTGATCATGATCAAAATCATCATAATGTTGTGCATGAATTTTATAATGATTTTTCATACGATATGCTGATGGAATATATTGATTACATATTCTACATGTACGTTTTTTTAATTCTTTTTTAACTGATGAACAACAGTAATCAAATGGTAACAATTCATTCTAAAAAGAAAAAATCTTTTATTTTTCTCAAATAAACAGTAAGTATGAGTCATATGGCGTGATAAATGAGTGTCTTTTATTATTAGCTATTTATTGAAGGAATTGATCAGTGTGGCACTTAAGCTAATTTTCTAGTACTGTCTATAAATTTGAAGCATTTCGTTATGATCTCTTTCTTGTCTTGAACAATCTAGTCGATTATATTCTCATTATTAAATACTGAATCAAATAGTAATATTTATTTTTAGATTTGAAATGATCAAACTTTGTTTCAACCTGTGTATGTTGCATAACAACACCATGAAATTGAATTCGTTGAAATAATGATCCATAAAATTGTCCTCTTTGATAATCTCTTTCGGCCATTCTAACACCATATGGTGTACGTTCAAATGGTACAGTTGATGGTAAAAATCGATGAGGAAATATTTCAAGATAATTTGAACGCCATGGTCCACAACATTCAACTGAATTACAACGAATTATTTGTAATGTATATTGTGTTTGTAAAACATGTGTAGCACACCAATATTCATCAATATCATATTTTGGTTGTTCTCCAGTTTTTTCTCTTGATGCACGAGCATTTTTTTGATAATATTCTTCCGATTGTCGAATACGAAATTCATATTCTTCTTCTGCTTCTCCTTCAGCAAAAATTCTATTTAATAGAATATAATACAAAAATAAACTGAACTAAATGGAAAGATGATAAAAATTTACTGTCGTAAAAGTTCGTCCATAACAGTTTTAACATCGATTTGTCGACGTTCATCATCTGTTGTAGCTGGTGGATTAATATATTCAGCAAAACATGGATATCCATCAATAACTGATTTATTCTATCTTTCAGCTAAGATTTGTCCAGCTTTACGAAAATTTAATTTTTCTAATTCAAGATTTATTG